ACACATTCATGCGTGACAAAAAAATAGGAGGCAAAATCGATTTTTTGTAATTCTGTTAATTACACTGCGCAAATCGGATGAGGAAGGGTTGGCTCTCCAGTCTCCATAGAACTTAAAATATTCATTTTATTTTAGTTTTCGTGTTCGCATTTATGAGGAAAAAACAATGTTACAGACGCGACCGCTCTGAACTGGCACTAAAAGACTGCTTTAAAACTTTCACATAGTCTGTTGCCTTTAAGAAGTAAAAGCAGACAATACACTGTAATACAACTGTAATACAAGCCTCACTGAACATGTAACGAGTAAAATATTACTGAAAATTGATTAGTAATGCCTTACACTACTGTGTTACAGCAAAAAGTAATATGTTACTGTAATGTATTACTTTTGTAATGCGTTACTCCCAACACTACAGGCACTCATGTTCTGTGTTTGCTTTTTCTGTAATTGCATGCTGACACAGAAAACAAACATGCAATTAGGGTCCGTGAAGCTCTTACGGAAGAATTAACTTCAGTCATCTGGTAGAACCCTGAACCCTGGAAGAATAAAACTTCACTACAGATGGTGCCGCGACCCGGATAGAGAAATCTTACCTGAATCCAAAACTTCAAGCAACAAAAGATTTCAACAGAGCATCTCAACTGAATCTTGAAAACCTCAAGCAGAACAAGATCTCAAAGCGGACTGAGTTCCAGAACAAGAACAAAAAGAACTTTTCTGACTGAGGTCCAGACTGAATCTTTTCATACCAGCAACGATTCGGTGAGTTTTTTCACTCTATTCAAAGAACCAGACCAGTACCAAAGTTGTGCCTCTGCGCCGTCAGAGAGTTATCAGACAGCTGTAGTGTTTGATTAACTAAAGTTATCCTTTAAAAGTTGTCTTTTAAAGATGATAGATATCCTCTGTTGTCAGGCAGGGAAGATTGACATTAAATGTTAATATTTTGGGATCCTCTGAATAAGTCAGGGAAGTTGTAGATATTCTCTGAATAAGTCAGGGAAGTTTTGTTTAACGGAATAGTGCCTCTACGTTGCTAGAGAAGGTATCCTCAAAACTTAGGGAAGATTAACGTTACATGTTAATATTTGGTGATAACCTCTGTTCACAGAGAAGGATTAGAATTTTTGTGCTAGTTATTTTGGTCATCCTCTAAAAGTTTAGGAAGGTGAAAGATCCTTTCCATTTTCTTTCAGGGAAGATTAGCGTAACATGCTAATAGTTTGTGTTGTTTTTTGTTATTTTGTGGTGTTACCCTCTAAAAAATTAAATTATTTTAGAGATGAAAGTTTGATCCTCTGTACAAGCAGGGAAGATTAGCATAAAGTGCTAGTAATATTGTGGATATCCTTTGGTCTACCAAAGAAGGTTTAACAACAGTTGATCTGTGTAAACAAGTGTAGTCTCTGTTTGATCAGAGAAAGTTTTTTGGTGTGGTAAAGAATATCATAAAAATGGTTAGAAAAAATGCTAAGTTGGTTCCAACAACTGAGAAAAGTGGCCTTGCTGCTCCATTGTGGTCAGATAGCGAATTCAAAACACTGTTAGGAGAACAAATGAACCTAGTTACTGAAAAAGATAGGAAAGAACTAACACAGAAATATGAGATTCATCCAGACAAGACTTGGTCGGTAGATGAGTGTAAAAAAGTACTGGGAGCATGTATCAGAAAGAAAAACATGAAAGGCATAATCTGTTGCCATAGAGAATTTTGTTTAGCACTAGCTACACAACAGTCTGAGCAAAAGTCAGAGCTAGAGAAAGAGAACAAAGAGCTACGGGCTAGAGTTTCTGCATTAACCAAGAAATTGAACTGCAACAAAGATGCAGAAAAAACTGATGTGGAAGTAGTAAGTCAGCCTGATAACATATCTATCCTGATTTACAAACATTCTTTGAAAGAGATGTAGACATCCCATCAATAACAGATAAGCATGTAAATTCAGTGAAGGTATGTGCTGCTAGAAAAAGACCGCAGGGAACTGAACAGTCAGAAAGTGTTCCTTCCAGTGCTTATGTTGTTCAAATCCAAACTGTTGCTAAAAAACGCTTGGACCTAGAGACATAGAGAGATTGTCACAGAGTCTAATTGAGAATTGAGAGAGGGAGTTCTGAGAGTGTTACGCCCGTTTCACACATACTCCGTTTGCAGTGCGTATGCGGTCCGTATTTTTTTCCGTACCCATGTTAACAGGTTAGAGCTTTCACACTGCACGCGGATGCAGTCCGTCGATCCGTTCCAGTTGCGGTGCGTATACAGCAGTGCAGAGATCGTTTCCGTACCGAGTCTATTTCTGCTGTGCTGCAAACGCAGAAATAAAGTGACAGCGCACGGTTCGTGGTCAAAATGAACTGAGATTGACCTCGAAATGTAGTAGTTTCACCATAAATGCATTTAATTCAATAAAATGTAGTAATCTCTCCATAAAGGTATTTAATTGTTTCATATTTTTACTTTAAGACATCTTAATATACAAGGCCTACTGCATGGAATTGTATGCATTCGTTGTTTAAATCGTGTTTAAACGAGCATGCGTCCATTCAAGTTTGTAAAAGAGAATCGCAAAGCCATGGCAAAACTTTTATTTAAAAAAAAGTTACTGCATATGGTGAACATATTTTGATTACCAAAAACCAGGACACATGGCCCAGAAAACAAATGATACTCGAAGTTTACTCAAAGATGCCTTATTAATTTCAATACAATTAAAATAGGCTATGCCCCCTCTGTGGATAGAAAATTGTTGTAGGCTATTAAGACACAAAATCAGATAGCCTTCTCAGAGGATACTCAACATGACATGTTTTATTATGAAAAATAATGAATGAAATAATGATTAAAAAATAATGTCTCTTCTGTATTAGAAAAATAAATATATCAATATTAATTAGGCTAACTAAAAGAAATACCTTCAAATTGAACAAAAATACCTCTCACAAACGTACAAAAACGAACTAGTTTCCTTCCTCTTTATGCTGTTTTTCCTCATCATCCTCCTTGTCTGCTCATCTCCTATATTTTGCTATAAAGCTGATCTTTTCCAGCGTTTTTTTTTTTTTTTTTTTTTTTTGAAAACCAGGACATCACTTTATAAAAAACGGCCAGGAAGGACGTGAAAACAGGAATGGGATAACAGGACTGTTGGTCACTGGTCACGCTGTTGCTGCATAACTTCTGATTTTGAAATAAAAATGGCGAGTGTTTGTGGTACAGCTCACGCAATGCAAACGCAGCATATGTGAAAGCACTTTAGCGCGTGCGGCTCCTGTACCGGATACGCACCGCAACACTCACCGCATACGCACTGCAAACGGAGTATGTGTGAAACGGGCGTTAAAGAAAATTGTTGGACCAAAAGTGGACTGGTCAAAGATGTACGTAGCCTGGCTGCGTCCTCCTAAGCACTTCCGCTCAATTTCATTTTACTTCAGTACTACGTCTGGGATCGCTCCATATCATTAGGTTTCCAGAAATCAATTTTTTGTAGGACCAATCAGCGAATAGAGGGAGTGGCTGAGAACGATGACGTTGATGTAAGCGCGTCAGTTTCAATTCAGTAATGGCAGCGGAGAAAGACGGAGAAAAGCTATTCGGTCCATTGTTGGAAAAGAAACTGCCGAATATACAGAATTTAAAGCCGTATTGTTATCGTCTCACCTCTTGTTGCACAACTGAGGACCAAGTGAAGGAGGCAGAAATTTTGGAAGTTTGTGCTGGGCAGCTAGCACTGCATGAAAAGTGGGATTTTCGTCAGTAAGCACTGTAGATTGTCGTGGAAGTTCAGGTTTACGACTGCACACGGCAATTTACAGGCAACACCCAAAACTGCCGTGAATTGCCGGAAATTGACGTAGGCCTTGCTTGCCAGTTGTCCCCCCATGACCCCCCTTTTCCTAAATCTAGAGGAGGCTTTGACATGTCAATTAAAATGCTGTGAGCTATACACATGCAAATAAGGGTAGGGGAGTTTCACCCCAGGTAACATTTTTCTGAAAGATATACCTCATTCTAGGACAATTTCTGGTAGAAATAGATCAGGCTCACAGTGTTTTTTTTTTTTTTTTTGTTTTTTTTTTACATTACACATAATGCACAACAATTACAACAATAGCATGGTATCCAAAAAGATAACAATCAACAAATAATAATTTCACTATAAATGAATAAGAAAAAATAAAAATAGGACAGAATTGAAAAAATAAAATAAAAAGGGGAAAAGGACTATCTATTATGTATAATATAATGATTTAAGAGAAAGCTAGAAACCAGTAATTTGTACTACTTAAAGAAAGAAAATAGCATACACATTAATTCACTTTTCAATTAGCTTCAATATTCTTTAGTAAATACAATTGTATCACTACATTTTTATCGATAGAGAGACTCAATATACAACGGAAAATCAGACCAAAAAAAAAAAACTTCAAACAAGGTTTAGAATTATTCATTTTACTCTTATGAATATGAAATTTACCTAATAAAATTATAGGATTCATCATAACATTTACAGAAGCAGTTTTCAAATTATATGATAACATCTTTGGATGTTAATTCACAGTTATAACCAGATGTTTTTTTTTGTTTTGTTTTTTACTGGTTTATTTATTTTAAGTAGCCTAATCAAGTTATTTATTTATGCACACCCTGTTTGTATTTTTCATTTCATGGTAGCCTATATTAGGTCTATCCACCTTATTCCTAATTTAAAAAGAACTAACAGCAACAGAAAAGTCATGGACAGCCGAGGACAACTCTATCAAGAGCTTTGATTTCAACCACAGTCGAAATCCAGTGAACGTCACTCTGATTGGCTGAGGCAACATATCATCATAACCCAACCTGTAACGCCAGCCACTCTGATAGGCCGAGGCAACATGCGAGCCATGTGGCGCGAGCGGCGCGATTCAGCGTGTTTTTCACATGGTTGGTTTTTCAAGCAGAAAATAACGGCACAGATGCAAAATCCCAATAAAGGAAGCAGAAAATAACGGCACAGATATTCAGCCTACATCGCCGTCATGATCACTGGTGAACCCATCTCCTCTAAATTGAAGGTAAGTTCGTCCAATCTAGTGAATTCTATGTCCATGTCTACTTATAGTGTTTGGTAGTTTAGCGTTTCACAAACCTGCTGTGATTACTGCCGCGAATGTTCAAGGGCGTTAACCTTAACGGCACAGTTTTTTTGTTTTGCGTTAGCTTGCTGCTCTTAATTCTTTTTTAGTTTCATGTCAATTTGGGACACTAAATTGTATTTTGCACGTTGTTATCTGGCTGCTAGGTAGCTACCATTCTTTGCTAGTAATCAAACTAACTCGTATTGGGTGTTCAACGGGCTTTTCCCAATGCGTTTACTCTGAATATCGTCAGAAATTATGGAAAAATTATATGTGCCAGGATCATACAAACTCAAAGTTCGTAATGTGCTTGTATGCTCTAGTGTAGGCTATCCTTGTTTGTAAAACTGCAACGCTGTTGTGTGATGGAGTGAAATCTTTAACTCCATCTGTTTGTGATGTTTGTTAACGCATTTGTTTTGTCTCTCAGGTGCTGTAAGGAGTGAGGTGCCTTTCCCTGATAGGAGAAAAAACACCTAAACAAGGTAACGTTACGTGTTGTGATCTCATCCTCTTTTCTTTTGATCAGGCCCCAGTCAAATAAACAGTAAAACTAAACTAATTTGGTATTAACGTCTGTGTTTACGGATGACTTTGAGAGTAAGACAGTGGTGAAAACGCCAAAGAGAACTGGAACATGGCATGTTACATTCATTAATGTTTGGCCAAGTTTAAATGTTACTAGGTCCAGTGTTCGATTCACCATCAGGTCCTGCACAGAGATTGTTCGAGGCACACCTTCAGGTCCAGACATGATGGGTCACAGCACGTACAGTGATGGTGCGAGGCACACAGTCTTCAAATCACTGCTATTACTTTGAATCTGAATCAGAAAGAGCTTTATTATCTAGTGTGCTTGCCTTGCACACATAAGGAATTTGTTTGTGTGCTGAGGCTTCCAGTGCACATATACTAACACAACAGGAAACTTATTATAATTACAAAATTATTTTAATTTCAGGTATAACCATATGGAACTAATAAATCCATGAAGACCGATCCCGTAGTGATGCCCCCAGTCCCCCGCCCAGGTCCAGACATGATAAAAGAGTAAAGCGCAGTGATCTCAGCACATGACAGGCACGGTGAGTTGTCGGCTGCGTTCACATTAAGCTCATTTAGGATTATTTTGCTATTCAGGTGGTGGTCATATGACCCTGGATGCCTGTTACACAGTGTACACATTGCTTTGAACAAGAAATCAAGTAATTTAGAATTTTTTTACAATTAAGGCCGCAATTTTCATCAAAGTACTTTGCAGTTCACCAAGTTTTATAGATGTATCTCTAATTGTTACAATATTGCAGATTTATTATTTATCATCTTATAAATATGTTCAGTTTCATCATTTGATAACTTGTATAACACATTTTTTGTGGTGTAGATGCAGTGACTGAGACTGGGAGATGCAGTGACTGAGACTGGTAAGTATTGATCTATTGGCAGTGGAGAAGACACTTTTAATAGACACCTTCTCTCTTGTGAGCTAGCAAACTTTGCTATTCTAATTAGAGCATTGCAAACCTCACCAAATGTGTTTGTTTATTTCAGTGTTCCAGAAAAATGTCCTGAAACTACTGGTCGACATCCGCCATCGCCTGAAGGAAACCAGGTAGTGGATGCAAAGGAAACATATTTTTGCTTACAAATGTGGGGACTTGGGGCAGATTGCCTTTGCATACATCTAAATCAGGGTTCCTCAATAGGCGGCCCGCGGGCCACATCCGGCCCGCGAAAGGAAAATGTTTGGCCCGCGCTCATTTCCAGGTTGTCATGGTAACATCAGTGTAAGCAAAAATTCAAACGCAGTATGTAGGCATTCGCGCGCAACAGAAATATGGCAAGTGTGAAGAAAAGAAAAGTGGACACAGAAAACAGACGATTCAAATCTGAATGGACTGAACAATTTTGTTTTATTTTGCCTGACCACCACAACGCAAAGCCAACGTGTTTGCTATGCACGCAGACCGTGGCTGTCTGTAAGTCTGACAATATCAAACGCCATTTTAACTCATTGCACAGCAATTTTAACAGCAATTTTCCTGAACATTCTGAGAGTCGCAAACAGAAGGTATCACAATTGGCAGCAGCTTACAAGCAGTCAGTTGCTGTTATTCATAAAACTACATCCATTCAGGAGAATGCCACCGCAGCATCCTTACGTGTGGCTTGGAATCTGGCAAAGGCCAAAAAGCCGTTCTCGGATGGCGAATTAATTAAAACCTGTGCGATTGACATGGTGGAAGAAGTTTTAAACCACGATGAGAAAACGAAGAAAATGGTTGTGGAACTATTAAAGAAGGTGCCGTTATCTGATTGCACGGCAACAAGAAGAGTAGAAACACTGGCGGGTGAGTGTCTGTCCAATCTTTTATCCGACATAAAGAAAGCTGAAGTCATGTCACTTGCAATAGACTCGTCTTGCGACCGAACCGACATTGAACAGCTGTCAGTGTTTGTCAGATTTTTTGATGGAAAGGTTTTCCGCGAAGAGCTGCTTTGTTTGTTGCCAATACAAGGACGCGCAACCGGAGAAATAATTTTTAACGAACTGATGCAATTCTTTGAAACGAATGGATTAGATTTAAGCAAAGTTGTGTCAGTTGTCACTGACGGGGCTCCGTCAATGGTTGGACATCACAGAGGCCTGATAAGCAGGTTAGCTGCTGTCAATCCAAATCTCATAACATTTCACTGCATTATTCATAAATCGGTGTTATGCGCCAAATTGTCTGGAAAAATGAAAGAGACAATGGATACTGTGATGAGGCTGGTAAACTTTATTCGCGCGAGTTCTGGTCTGCAACATCGCCTTTTCCGAGCCTTGCTGGAGGAAATGTCTGCAGAACGGCATGATCTTTTGCTGCACAATGATGTCCGATGGCTGAGCAAGGGTCGTGTGCTGGAAAGAGTGTGTGAACTTCAAAATGAACTTTGTACATTTTTAAGCAGCCTTCAAAGCCAAAAGGCAGAGACATTTCTGAGTTTTTTGAAAGACAACACAGAGATGGCATTCGTGCATTTTTTGTGCGATATCATGTCTCACCTGAATCAGCTTAATTTGCAATTGCAAGGCAAGAACCACACTATTGCTGACATGTACGAAGCGGTTGAAGCTTTTCGTTTAAAGCTGACGCTTTTTGAGCGGGATCTTCAAGGGAGAAAGCTGCACTTTCCGTATTTACAACAGCATTGCGAGCGACACCAGGTGCCAGAGGACCCGTTAATGCGCGACTTTGTGATGAGACTGGCAGATAATTTCAAAGAGCGATTTCAGAGCTTTAACCTGTCAAGTGAACTCCTTCTCTTCCTAAGACAGCCATTTTCAGTCCCAGCAGATGGACAATGGACTGCTGAGGCCAAACGCCTGGTTTCCTCTTTAGATGAAGCATCTTTGCAGCTGGAGATTTTGGAAATGTCAAAGTCTGATTTGATCAGAGAGCAACACAAGGAGGCTAGTGTGAGCGACTTTTGGACAAAAGTGGTTTCTCAAGCTAAGTTCAAGAACAGCAGGATTATTGCAATGTTCCTTCTTTCAATATTTCCATCCACTTACATCTGTGAGTCTTCGTTTTCTATAATGAACATAATCAAGAACCAGGATAGAAACAGACTGTCCAGTGTGCATCTTGATCAGTGTCTCAGAATTGCTACAACAGAATACAGCCCTAACATCAGAGGCATTGCTTCAGCCTCTCGTTGTCACTTCTCTCATTGAATGGTGAGTACATGACAGTTAATAGTTTGATCCAAGTAAGAACTATAAAATATTAAGGCTGATAGGTCTAATAATTTAATCTGCTATTAGGGAAATTGATGAGAAGAGGTCCAGTGTTGTGATGAGCAGGATGATCCAGGATCAGTCGACTCCCATGCAGACATGGAGATCCAGAGTTGTTGTTAATTTGTTTTTAATATCCACCATGCAAAGTTCTTAAGTTTTCTGTATCTGAATACATCTGCTCAAAATTTCTTAAATAAAACAGACTCGTTAAAAAAAGAAAATAATAAATAAAAATAAATAAAATCAGAATAATTGAGCTATGTGGTGATTTGTGACTATTTTTAAGAAAACAACAACAACAAAAATAGCAGAGCAAACATTGAGGTCATAACATTGTGGTTGGTGGCCCTTGGCTCTGTATTGTCAGCAGAATTTGGCCCTTGGTAAAAATTAATTGAGGAACCCTGATCTAAATCATTGGTCTTTTTCAACTTTGCAGAAGGGATCATGAAATTTGGTTCCATAGCCACTGAGGTGTATGTACATCAAGGTGAACGTGTGTGAGCACCTCAAGCACGCGTCGCAAAGACTTGGAGGTGGAGGATTCACTACGCCCCGATGAGCCTACAGGACTTGAATTAAGAGTTTTAAAGGGATAGTTCACTTTAAAATTAATTTTTGATATGTTTTAGCTTACCTCAAGGGCATCCAAGATGTCTTTGTTTCCACAGTAGTTTCAATTTTTATATTTTTACGTCAAACCATTCTTGTCTGTCAGTCATATAATGGAAATCTATGGGGATCTCTTAAAAGAGCATGCACAGAGAAATCCAGATTAAACATGATTTAATGACTCGTAACTGTAAGTACACATTGATGGCTTAAGATACGAAACGAGCGGTTTGTGTGAGAAAATGAACAGTGTGTGTATATATATATATATATAAAGTGTTTGTTTTCTCTCACAAATCGCTCGTTTCGTGTCTTAGGCCATCAATGTGTACTTAATTTATGAGTCATTAAATCATGTTTAATTTGGACTTCTCTGTGCATGCTCTTTGAGGTGGTGACCATAGACCTCCATTATATGACTGACAGACAAGAACGGTTTGACCTAAAAATATCAAAATTGAAAATATTGTGGAAACAAAGACACCTACATCTTGGATGCCCTTGAGGTAAGCTAAAACATATCAAAAATTAATTTCAAACTGAACTATCCCTATAAATTACATCCTTATTATTTGTTCATAATTCTGCCTCCACTGTACATTGTGTTTGATATATCTGGTGCCCAATTCTGATGCCATTCAGGGCAATTTATTTTTGAATAAAGATGCAATATATTATTGATTTATTTGTATAACTGTAGTGCTGTATGTATGTTATCCCATGTTTCCAGAGGGTGGAGGACATGTTTTCTGTGCTTTGAAGATGTTCTCCTATGCTTTGTACATTGTGTGTTTGTTCTAATAAAGCTATTTCTTTGAATAAACAGTATCTGGCATATGTTCCTTTCTTCAATAAATTCATGTCCTTGATGGTAATAATAGTTTAGTCCATAGGATAACAATGACATGAATATACAACATAATAGCATATCATATGAATATATATAAATAAATTATTATTATTATAATTTTATGTAAGCTGACCAATAATAACAGATCTGCCAACCAATCACGAGTGATTTTCTTGTTTAAATGTAGTGAATTTCAACCAATACTGAGTGAGGAAATTCAAGCCATTCTCTGGCAAGGCGCGCGCAGTGCTGCTATTCATTGTCACGTGTCTGTCCTGTCGTGTTAGCACATGGGTGGTTTTGTTATGTTGAGCCATGTGCTCTTGTCATTGTTTGATCCTCCCCCTCGTTACCTAATTAGTGTTTGAGTTCTCCCACCTGTTCCCTCTTGATTTGTTCCCTATTTAAGTTCCTTCATGTTTGCAGTCTGTGTTGGATCTTTGTCTTATGTCTCCCCTGTTCCCTGGTGTTATTCATGGTCAGTGTATGGTATTTCAGTTCAAGTTCAGTTTTATGTTTTGTTGAGTATGTTTTCCCCCTCGTGGGTTTTTGCTTTGTGTTTTGTTTTACTTTGTTAATAAATCATCCCTTCACTGCACTTGAGTCCTTCCCTTCACTTTTGTTAAGTGTATCGTGACATTCATATGCTAATTAGGGCCATTCACACCTCCGCGAGCGCTCCATGCATACGTCATGGTTCGTTTCCGTCAATATGTGGCACAGTGGAACGCGACGTTCACAGTCTGTAAATTGTCGTTAACTGCCGAAAATTAGGGAGATTTCCGACAGTTTACGGGGACGAAAATCCCACTTTTCATGCAGTGTAGTGCACGATGACCGTGACATTTTGGACGGACGGTTTAGCCTGGTGTTCGCGGTGTTCGGAAGCCCCGAGTCCTGGCTGCTAAACTATTGTTGAAGATCCGCTCAGGAGTCATGTCAGTCGCTCATATTCCCAACTGTATATTACTGATTCTTGTGATGAATAGAACATTTTGAGCCCCTTTGTGCACTCGTGCAGGAGGTTGGTGTGTCAGTTTTACATGTTGTAAATCATACAAATTGGTTGTGATTTAAAAAAAATAATTGTCATAAATAAAAATGTGAAAAACCATACTTTGAAGATATTTGATTTTCAGTTTCAGATGGCAATGGTTGATTTGTTTTACTAAAAAAACTAAATGCCATATAAAAATGTACAAACACATACTTTGAAGACCATAATTAAAGTAATTAAGAAACAATAAGACGTAATATGAAAAATTGTTGTTGTTTATTACACATCTGCAGATAGAGACAGACTGATCATTCACTGTAGCAGCTAACGTTACAGCATTTGCGGCAGATCAGAAAACGACCACAGCGGCGTATTTGTAATGATTAGACACAGCTTCCACCGTTGGATGTATATATCACTGTCCTTCGTGTCAAATATACATTTCGAATTAATAATTGTTCCTAGATTAACAAAACCTGCGGCGCTCGTTGACTGAAATCCTATTGTAAACATAATCCTCTTCGGCGCGTGACATACGTCACTCACGACACCCCGTTAGCGATTGGCTATGGCAGATCGTGAGTGACTTTGGGCAGATCCAATAGATTTGAACTTTAATAGTGAACCCGCCTACAAGGAAGGAAACGTTTCTCAATGGAGCGGTTCCAGACTCTATGTGGAAATGAAATGAACTAGAGTCTGGTTGAACCAGGCTAAGATGTACGCAAAAGAAGGATGAAAGTGTGACTGCATGAGTACACAGAGAGGTTCTGTCAGACAGCAGCTGCATACAGTGGAATAGCTGACACTTCAGAGAAAGTGTTAAATGACAATGGTCCATTATTTCGTACATGGTTTGATAATCTTTTGTCAGAACAAAGGAATGCGTTGCCTTTCTTAGAAATGACATGGCAAACTGGAACCTTGAAAAGTAACCTGGACAGGTTAACTGCTTGGTAAAAAGATGCGGATGTTAAGGCAAGAGTAAAAATTGCAGCAGCATTTTTTAAGGTCAGCACAGAGAACCCACAGAAACCTAAATGTCCTAAGAGAGAGGGCATGTGTTATTACTGTGGTCACCCGGGACACTGGAGCAGAGAGTGTAGAAAAAGCAGAAAGAACTTTAGAGAAGTCAACCTTTTTGGCCAACTTTTTCTGAATCTTCTTGCTACTCTGAAGCAGCCATTCTCCACGCCAGTAAACTTGGACACCTTTTTGAGGTGTTAACCATTTGGGCTGTGAGTGCTTAATTTTCCCAGTTACTTACAACAGAGATAAAAGACTGTCAAGTCAAGTCACATTTATTTATATAGCGCTTTTCACAATACAGATTGTATCAAAGCAGCTTAGTGATAACATGAAAGTAGTACAACACAGATCAATAATATCGTTAAATATTAAATATCCCAAACTGAGCAAGCCAAAAGCAAGGAAACAGTGGCAAGGAACCAAAACTCCTGTGCTGCTCCTTTAAGAAAGCAGGTAGAAGATTTTACTACTTCGCTGTTTGTCTGTTTAGACTTGCCGTAGTTCTCAATTCATGCAACAACCCTGAAACACAGCTGAGCACTTTTCATCATCTTTAACACGTTTTGTCTTCTTAACTCTGAAGAACTTATGTCTGTAAGTGATTGTTTAAAGTGCATTTTTGTGACAACCTTAAGTGAACATTGTTTGAATTACATATTTGTGTGAAAAGTGTTGAAAATGGTAAAGATGCTAATCGCATTAGCCTGTCTATGGCGTTTTCCATGTTAAGTTAGCATTCATGCTAATCGCTATACAACCATGTGTGGTTAATGGGTAAATTTATGTTACTGTATTTTGTGTTTTTCAAAATGGTATTAATCCTGTGTTAATAAAAATTTAACATAGTCAAGTTTATTAATAAGTACATTTTGTATTTCTGTATTGCAGTTTCACAGTGCTTCTGATAAAGCATCCTAAACGTTCTACTGCTTCCTGGGTGTTTATTGAAGAACCTGTTAGCTGTCTGCCAAGCTAGAAGTCCTACCCAAATTTTAGTAAGGGCAGAATAACTAATAATCACAGGAGTTGGTCTTCTCATCACAGGCGTTGGGGCATTCGAAATCCCCGTGAGAGCCTGGATACAAAACGTCTCGGTTACGGATGTAACCCTCGTTCCCTGAGTAGGGACATGCTACCAGATGCCTACCGTAGGGAGGACTTACGAATACCAGTGGTGGAATGTAACGAAGTACAAATACTTCGTTACTTTACTTAAGTACATGTTTCACGTATTTTTACTTTACTTAAGTAGAATAAATGGTGCATACTTTTTACTTTTACTTCGTTACATTTTGCAGCAATTATTATACTTTCTACTCCACTACATTTCTACAACTTCTAATACATTTTCGTTACATTTTCTGATCAGTTTTTCTCCCCTGCCAAAACGTAATCTGACCATCCGTTCGTTGCACGTTTGTCTCACCAGTGACGTTTGGTTGCCATAGATACAGTATATCAACCCGGTCACACTAAATGCGTCTCGCACGCAGTGTGTTTATCATGCAACTCATACGCGAAAATTTGTTTTTACGTGCATAGGAAACACACCGTGTGTAATATATGTTTGGTTCGGTTAGGATTATGGCAAGCCAAGAGGTTCAGAATTACACCATAAATGAATCGCGTTTACTGCCAAACATAGTTATAAACATACAGTAAGGATAAGCACGATATTGCCTAATTGCAAGCTTGTTTCAGAAATGGTGACATTTTTTTTTCCATCATTATTGAACATCATTATAGGAGTATTAAGTTGAATGAGTTAGAATTAAATGTTTTATTAATCATTAGAAAATAGACATTAAGAGAATCAATTGTTATGCAAGTACTTTTACTTTTAATACTTAAAGTACATTTAAAATAAAGTACTTTTTACTTTTTACTTAAGTATGGTTGTCATTGTGTTACTTCTACTTTTACTAAAGTAAATATTTATCTGGGTATTTGTACTTTTACTTAAGTACTGAGATTCAGTACTTCCTCCACCACTGACGAATACACATATGGCCGCATAGGGATGCATATGGAGATCACTGGAGCACCAACCGCAGGTGGTTACTAGAATTAACTCCAGGGGTGGCAGATGGCTTGCCAAGGGAAGACACATGCTCAGAGAGGCTTACAGTGGATAATACACATGAGACAGTTACCATAGGGAACCGTGCACATGGAGGCACCTAGCTGGCAACCAGAGCGACGCAGTGGTGCCCACATCTTGGGTGCTGGAGGACTCAAGGCTTCAAAGGAAGACTACTGAGGAATATCGCACTTATCCAGTCGAGAGTGGAATGGCGAGCAAGCGAAGACACCTAAGCGGGTCCAGTACTGGCGGAAGCGAGTACGTGAGAGGACACCGGTTCGACTCGAAGATTATAGAATCTGGCGAAGGTGTTTGGTGTCGCCCAGCCTGCAGCTCTACAGATGTCTGTTAGCGAGGCGCCATGCGCTAGAGCCCAAGAGGAGGCCACTGTAGATTTAAAATCTTCGTTTCCCCTTGTTATTTAATTTAATGAAAAGACACCAGTCATTCTGCCAATATATGTTATTTATTTTAACATTTTATATAAGACATAAGGGAGAGAGAGTGATAATGGACCCGCAAAGATCTTCCTTCTTGCTTCTCTGTATTTTTCCCTCTCTCTGCTTAAACAAAGAGCTTACACAGTACATATAGGCTGTACCAGAGAAACATCTGCTTCACATTAATCGTTGAAATGTATATTCTGCTCGATGGAAAGAAACATAATACACTCAACTTCCCCCCCAAAGTCCCCCAAACTCTAAAAGTCTTCCACATACAGTATTCAGAAAAGTTTGATTCATAAAAATGTAGATTATAAATGATTATGAATATATATGAAAAGATTAAAAAATGTATATGAAAAGTATAAAACACATGCATAATACTAATGATTATAATTATTAATAAAAACAATAAAAAAAACTAAAAACAACATTAAATGATGAGATTGTGAATCTTCAGTCCCTCCTCTGGAACTACGGCCGTCAGTTCCACACCATCATCTCCAGGTGGCCAACCTATTAAAGTGATAGTGCTGAGGAGAAATAGTAGACCAAGACATAGACATAGAAGACAAAAGAATGGAAACAGGAAAGAAAAGAAAAGAAATAACAAACAAAAACCCAACCCATGTTATGTCCCCGCATGCTATGTGTTATTTAACATCTATGTGTAAGCATTTAAAATGAACCCCAATCATCTAAGAAAGGAAAACCAAGAAAGTCTTCTGCCCGTGCCTGGACTCATTAATTAATTAACTCGTTAATTAATTAACTCCTCCAGTTCCGCGCTAACATAACAACCGAAAATAAACATTGATGTTAAAAGGGTCCTATCCCTTGGGGTTGTAAATCAGTAAGCGGGTGTTCATTGTTTGTGAGGTTGTGTTTTGTAAGTAGTGTAGTGTATAAAATCTCCTATCTCACTCCGAATTTTCCATTCTCGGTTCTATCCATTTTGTTAGTAATAACCAATCTAAAAGGTTTGGTACTTCTCTTTCTTATCACATATATGATACGTTTTATTACTAACAGAAACACAAAAACTCCTACCATAGCCAAAACTATCCATTCTGACCATGTTAAATTCCCTGGAATTCGAGCTAATTTCCTCTCAGACATCAATTTAGCTACTCCATTCGCTACGATAACATGACCCATTGCTTGAATTCCCTCCTCTTGAGCTGCCTTAACGCTTGCTTTAACTCTCTTGACCATTTCAAAGAGTTCATAATTCCTCTCTTCCACCAAATCATTATTCCACCACTGTGGATCTAACTGCAACAATTGTACATGTGGAACATGAATTCCACCCAATTGAAGAGGATAGAGAATCTCAACGCAAAATGGATCAGAAGGAATTGGACATAGCTTTCCTCCGTATATCATATTTTCATTTATTCCGTCATGTAATATACACCACTGTGCTTCTGACACCTGCCATGCACCTGTGGCTTGATCTAAAGGAACTACTTCCCAAACTGCAGATCCATTAAGAGACAGACTAAACATTGTAGAACATGAGCAAATTACCCACTCATGTTCCTCAATACAACAGTCTGTAGTAGAAATCATTGGTGTTTCACCTTCAGCCCAATATCCATTCCTTCCCAATCTAATTACTGAATTTCCTTGTCTAACCCCCATTAATTGGAATCGTCTAACTGTCATAATATTGCGTTTCCCATATTGAGGCCAGACCATAATCAAAGGTAATGTTCCAGAACCTGACAACGAATCTTCATTGATTGCGATTTTAACTAATGGAGCATGTTTAGCAGAAGTCAAATTAAGTTGTTTTCCAAAAACCAATAACAAAGATTCCGCTATTCGCTCAGGAACTTGACCCATTCGAATAACCTGAATATCCTCTACCATTTGATCCTTCAAATTCTGAGCCAAAAATAAACACGCTGCACGATGTGTCTCAAAATTAGACGATTTCACTAATGCATCTGCCAATTCCCTCGCTGCGTCATTAAGATGCTGACCCGCTGCTATAATATGTAGAGAACCTTGAAGAGTCTCAGTAAGTCCTTTGCCGGTCATTGTTCCCACCCACTGAGAGTACTCACTTAATTGGTTCAGCTGAGCAGTATTACTAATTGAATTGACAGAGCCAAATACCCCCGCTATGTCTCCCCATATACTTCGAGGTTTACGATTTCGACTTCCAAGAGGATCCTTAGAGGTATAATATTTAATTTCTTTTTCCAACCAGCTCCTAATTTTTGTGAAATTTCCACAATAGGACTAATCATAAACAGTAAGAAGAGACATCAAGTTATAATTAATGCGTTGTCGCACCATATGAGCTTCGTTTATCAAGGTTTTGGTTTCCTTTGCTAGCAATATACCATGAGCTGGTGCAATAGTTGTACTTGGGCATGTTTTAGCTTTGTTTGTCTTTCCCGCAGAAAGATAAAAACACCGTCCAATTTCCCCAGTTTCTAATTCAGTCTCACAATATTCATTCGCATCTTCCGAATGCCAAACTCGTATGTAATTTCCCTTGAATCTAGTTGTCCTGGAGGTAGCATCCCATAGAAACCCCTCGCATGGTAACACTATGGGATAGATACAGCCTAGGGCTAATGAATCCCATATTGTAAGCATGTGGGTACGATTCAAAATGAAATTAATTTCCACATCAGTAGATGTTATGAGGTTTAACCCCACAATTTCACATTGTTCTTTTGAACAAATTTCTCGTCTTTGAGCACTACCGGTATACCCCCCATCTTTCACCGGCCAAATTACTCTGCTTTTGTAACATTGGTGGTGAAAGTTACATCCACCGTAGATGCCCACTCGATATTTAGCAAGGTCTTTATCATTACGTGGCACCCAATCCCATAATCCCCATCTGGAAATAAAGGGTAGAGTAAAACCAGGGGCGCAGATAGCACTGGGGACGGGGGGGACATGTCCCCCCCAGATTCATAGTGACCCGATCCGTCCCCCGCCCTCACTATCCCTATGAAAGTCGAAAAAAATCGGTAAACCAGAGGATAACCAGTGTTTTCGCTAGCCAAAGTTATTGTTGTGCGTGCCCCGACCCGATCTGAAGCAGCGGCGGGCCGGGACACGCACAATAATAATCTACTACACCGGTCACCATTACTTTGTACCCTATGTTCTCACTACACGCTGTTCTGTTGTCAATAAACACACGATGCCATCATGCCACCGACGTTTACACTCTCTCTCAGTGTGTGTGCTACGACTCCTCTTGAGTGACATCCCCGGGGTCCTATGGCGAGCTAGCTGCCTCCATCGTGCCTGTAGAAGCGGACCAGTAACCATAGTGATCATATACAATCTATGACTGAGCTGATCGGTGATTTTCTTAACTGAAAAAAAAAATCGACTGTATAAATGCCACATTAAAGCATCACCTCGTTTAAAAAAAAAAAAAAAAAAAACTTTCCCAGATGTGGCAGATTAGATTTGTTAAGGGGAATAGCTAGTCTGAAAATAAGGCTTTTGCTTGCACTTAGTAAACACTGCAAAATGTGGAGAACATAACTATGCATTAAGATGAGTGGACAGAGGCAAATAATGAATGAACACAAAAAGAACGGTTGGATAAATCAAACAATTTATCGTCGTCAGGTAATAATGTTTTATCTAATAATTTAACCCATTGTACTGTATAAATTGACTGAGGTATGTTCACTGTTGTGTTACTACTATACAAATAATTATAATAAGTAAATTTATGTAGTGCAAGGTTTATGCAAACAACAAGTAAAGGCCTACATAAACTTTTGACATCCTCTTATAGCAGGAAATCATATTTTTATTTTATTTTTTACTGTACGGAGCAACGGAGGATATAGATTCTAAAATTATGGGCTATGAAAAGCATTTCTTAATATGTCATACATCATTTGAAAGATATTTCTAATCTATAAATTGCAACAAACTTGTAATTAACACTTACATTTTAGTTATTATTATATATTTTTGAAATAGTAGTTTTAGCAATTGATTCTCTGGTCTGGAATATGTTGTATTTCACATTGTTGTGAAAGTCTATAGAGGTATGGAGGTTTAACTGAAATTATATACTTCAAAATGTTGTCCTCCTGGCCAGCGGGCAATATCTGATGACAGTAAGGCAGGCCCTAGTAGTCAGTCAAGTGAGGATCTGCAAGAGGGCAGCCACAGTAAAAATATGTTGTTGTTATTTTAGTTTATTTTATTATTATTTTTATTTTTGCACATAGGTTCTTTGCTTTTTGTTCATAATGATAGACATTGCGAGATAATCAAATGTTTAAATAATAAATACTTTGCTGAAGACATGGGTCACGGGTGATTGGAATACTAGTCAAATAACAGTCTGATCATGCATATCTAGTGGTGATCTGTAAGGCCTTTTTTTTTTTTTTTTTTTTACCTTTGTTTATTGTTGTAATCCATGATTTAAAATAAGAATCCCCCATTGGCTTTGTAGTCCAAATCATTTGCCAAAATAACGCAAAGTAACTACTTGAGCACTAGTTAAAGCCCAAATTATGTTAAATCACGAATTGAGTTTAAATCATTTGTTGACAGCCTGGTCCCCCCCAGTTAAAAAATCCTATCTGCGCCACTGAGTAAAACGTTGGCCAGATTTCAGGGTTGCATTACGAGTAATTTCTTGAACTCGAGGAGTCCATAAAGCTTGGCTTCCTTGGTAAATGCCAAGTAAAATTAAAAACAAGCATACCATTGTCGTTGTGTATCGAGAATAACTTGCGACCATCTCTAATCAATGTCAATGGAATTGATTCCTGAAATGGAAGCAGAAAAATAATTAATCATCACTCCTATTTCCCAAAGTTAATGAGTGAACAGTGCTCAATCTCAGGTCCTAAGCCTTCATCATTTTGTTCATTCACTAAGCAAGGTTTAACTTGTGACCAATGATACCATCTATCTGTTCCTACACCCTTCCCTTTTAGGCAGACACTTGTATCTGTTGTTAAGAGTACCTCATATGGCCCCTCCCACCTAGGTTCTAAACCTTTCCTGGGAATACGTTTGACCATAACAAAACTGCCTAACTCAGGAATGTGTGGAATGTCAGTAGTGGTATGTTTTTCATCCCATTGCTGTTGAGCTTCTCGCACTTTCTTATTATTGTCTTTGATTGCTTTGTCCAGCATTGTAAGATAGCGTCGTAGCTTCTCTTGGAACAAAGTAGAGTCTCCTCCTGTTCCCGCAGGCGGCGGAGCATCAGGAGGCAGAACCATTGCTCTTCCAGTCATCAGTTCAAAAGGAGTCAGTCCCGTTACTCTGTTCGGGGTTGCTCTCAGATTCCACAAAATTGCGGGTAACAACTTATGCCATCCTTGGCCAGTTTGCAGAATGGCCTTGGTAAGAGCGGTTTTCAACGATCTGTTCATTCGTTCCACTAGGCCTGAACTTTGAGGTCTGTATGGGACGTGAAACTTCTGTTTAATCCCCATCAATTTCATTGCTTCCTTCATCAGTTTTCCAGTGAAGTGAGTTCCATTGTCAGAATCAAGTTCATATGGAAGACCCCAGCGAGGAAAGACTTGTTCAACCATAACTCGTGCGGCTGCTTCAGCAGTGCAGGTTTTTGTTGGGAATGCTTCCACCCATCTAGTAAATATGTCCATGATTACTAGAATGTATTGGTACCCTTCACTGGGTGACAAAGGTCCTGTGAAATCGATTTGGAGATGTGTCCATGGACCTGTTGGTCTGGGTGCATGTGACATCCGCACCTTTACAGATTTTCCCACATTTGCTTTCAGACAGATCAAGCATCTTCTACAGTAATCATCAATGTCTCTCATCATTCGTGGCCACCACCACGTCTCGCTGATTTGAGCTTTCATTGCTTTTGCTCCAGCATGTACTTTTCCATGATACAGCTGCATTAGTTCCCTTCTTGTTCCGATAGGCATCACCACTTGTCCTGTTGGAATTCTCCAGATACCTTGATCATCCTCTTTCGCTCCCGCTTTTATCCATTGTTCTTTCTCTTCATCTGTCTCAGTTTGATATGACAGAAGGCGGAGCTCAGGATTATCTTTGCTGTTTTCCTGTACCAAGGTAACAGGAGTAAGAGGAAGTAGTGCTGCTTCTCTGGCCGCTGCATCTGCTGCCGTGTTTCCTTGACTTTCTTTGGACTTGTCAGATTGATGTGATTTTACTTTGATCACGGCTGCTTCTCTGGGTAGGTGACATGCTGCAATCAAACGACGAATTATGGAAGCATGTTGTATTTCGCTCCCATTGCTGGTGATAAGTCCACGTTTTTTCCACAGGGCAAGGTAGTCATGGACCACTCCAAAAGCATAACGACTATCTGTGTAGATGTTGACTCGTTGTCCTTCCGATAATTCGAAAGCTTCTGCAAGTGCTATGAGCTCAGCTACTTGTGCTGAAAAATGCCCAGAAAGAGCTCCTTTCTTCACGACATTTCCATCAGCTTCCACTACAGCCCATCCAGTATGTCGTTTTCCATCAACATAGTAACTGGATCCATCGACCCATAACTCCTTGTCTGGATTTTCAAGAGGTGTTGGATTAACAGGACCAAGACTTTCTTCTTCTACTTGTTTTTCACACTCATGTGGTGTTCCCTCGTGTGGTTCGATCATCATCGTTGCAGGGTTAAGGGATGTGTCTCTGATGATTTCCACTCTCAAATCCTTGTTCAACAAAGTTGCTTCCCATTTTGCTCTCCTTGCATCAGTAATGGTCTTGATGTTTGTGTTGTTCAGCAACGTCACTATACTGTGTGGAGTATGCAATATGATTGTTTGTGCTCCTATCAAATTTTCCACAGCATCCACTGCCCATGTGGCACCATCGAGAGCTTGTATACATCGTGGTTGACCAATCATTGTAACAGGAATCTTTGTGGAAAAGTATCCAACTGGTTTGTATCGATCACCTGGTTTTTGACACAGTACTGCTGAGTACGTCTCATCTCCCACCCTGGTCCACAAATGAAATGGCAATCGTCCATCAGGAAGTCCCAAGGCTGGGGCTGAAGTCAGTTTTTCTTTCATTGAAGTAAATGCTTCCTCAGCTTCCGGTGTCCAGTTTATCTGTTCCATTCCAGGCTTTCCTCCCTTGTACAAGTCAATGAGGGGGCTGGTGATGCTGGCAAAATCAGGAATATACTGACGACAATAGTTGAAAAGTCCCATCACTTTCCTCATTCCTGTAACTGTTAGAGGTTTTGGAAGTTGCCGTAATGCCTCCACACGCTCTGTTGGCCCAAGTAGATAACCTTGGTTTTGGCCAGCTGTGCTTTGTCGGGGTTGACTTTAAATCCTCCTTTCTTAAGGGCTTGTAGGACAATATTCAGAGCAAATATGTGGCTGTTTTCATCTGGGCTTGCAATTAACAAGTCATCCACGTATTGGAGGCAAACACTTCCTGAACTCTCAATTTCAGCTTTTTGCTCCGTTAAGAACTGATCCAAAGTTCTGTGAAATACCACAGGAGAAATATTAAGTCCTTGTGGGAGTCTGTTCCAGACATACTGTTTTGCACCCACTGTGAAGGCAAGTTTCTCTTGAGATTTTTCGTCAATAGGTATAGACCAGAAAGCAGACAGTACATCTAGTACTGTGAAAATTCTTGCATTTCCTGGAATATCATTCAGAATGGTGGCAGGATTGGCCACAATAGGATGCGGTTTTGGTGTTACACTGTTGAGTCTTGTGTAATCAATGGTTAATCTCCATGAGTCATCCGATTTCTTGACAGGCCAGACAGGACTATTAGTGGTTGATGAAGTTTGTCTGATAATCCCTTCAGCTTCCAAGTCTGCCACTATCTCTTCCACGGCTCGTCTTGCTTCAGGTCGGATAGGGTATTGTTTATGAGGGGCATGTGTCGGCCCTTCAATAACAACAGGGTCAATGTTGGCTTTGCCACAATCAAATTTGTGTTTAGCCCAAACTTCTGGATGTAAACTGCACAGAAGACCCCACACACCGTCTTTGGTCCAGTCTCTGATGATTGGTTTTGCTGCACCAACTGAACTCAAATTACATGTGCGATCTTCGTGTGGTATTATCCCAGCTGTTGTAGCGATTTGACGACTGTCAGTGAAGATGATCATGTTCAACAATGGAAGTATGTCCATGCCAATGAGGCTTCCTTGTGAATTCGGTCCCACCCAGAAAGATGTCCATACGACTTCATCTTCATGTATTTGTAGTGTAACTTGGATACTTTTACGAAATGTTGTGATACATCCTCCAACTCCTTCAACTTCCATAGTTTCATCTGTTGTAGGTAGGTTCAGATCTGTTATTGAAATTGAGGCTCCTGTGTCAACCAGGATATCACATGGGTGGCCCCCTATTAATGCATTGATGAAAAGGCGATTGTCTCTTTTCTTACTAATACAGGGGGCCGCTGATTCCTATTGCGGACGCATAATCCCCTCTATGAGTTGACGGACTTGTGCTTCTGTCCATGTCTTCCCTTGAGAGGTTTCATCACAATTTTTCGCAGTGACTTGTTTAAATGATGGACCTTGACCTTCTGCTCCACCACCTTTAGCCCAGCAGTCTTTTCTTGAGTGGCCACGCTTTCCACAATTGCCGCAAACAACAATCTTATTCTTTGTATCCATGTTGTATTGAGCTGTCGCCACTCCTTTTCGATTTGTCTTGTTTCCTTCTTCCTTGTTTGATCTCATCGCCATCTCTAGACGGCCAGCCCATTGCATAATTTGGTCATATGTTTCGCCTGGATTGACTCCAAGTGATAACGCTTGTTGGTATTTAGAGCTAAACCCATCCACAAGTGTGTCAGTGAATTGTACATCATCTCTGTCAGGTTGTTTCTTAGCGCAGAGAGCCCATCTCTCATAAGTGTTCCACTTACGCAGAGCATATTCGTCTGGAGATTCATCATCCTTTTGCTTAATCAATGTCACTGAAGTGAATGGAATTTTACCGCTTCCCAAGATTTCTTGGATTTCCTTTCGGAATACATCTAATGTTTGCCAAAGACCCAGGGGTCGTCCTTGGCCATCAACCCACAAGTCTACCCATTGGGCTGTTGTTATCGACGCTGGCAGGCGTTCCCATCGGTCTCTTGGGATTTTAGCTTTCACAATGGTGTGAATGTCTTTTAGTGTCATTTGATGTGCTTCAACCAGGGAGTCTAATTCTCGCCAAAACTCTGTGTTTGGATCTTGTCTCTTCAGAGGAGGCAAGGCTGAGAGAATGGCTTGTCGTTCTCCCGGAGTAAATGGTCTTTCTTCGGTCATCATCTCAGGTTGCGACTCTTCCCTTTTAATCACAGGTGAAGAAAATTCAGGACCGATTTTGTCAATTGTAATCACGTCATCATCTCTTGTCTCATCACCCCAGTCAGATCCATAATTATGAGCTGGTGTACATCTCATCATGTCTCTGCTTGGCTGGGCTGATTTAGATCTTGTTATTATTGGAGCTGCTTGTGCAGATGCAATATACATTTTGTCAACTGGACCTCCGTTTGATCTTGAAGCTTGAGGCTGCATCAGAGGTTTAGATGAACTTGTATATTGTTCAGGCAAAGGTGGATAAATTGGTTTGTAAGGTGGAGGCGTTACTGTTGTCGCGGATTTCACTGGTGCTTGTGAATATTTCCTTTCAGCTTCAGTTATTATATTTGTCCAATCTGGATCAAATAAATCATCACTGGTTGTGTTTTCCTTCTCTGGACATGTGATGGACATGATTTTGTTTAATTTGTGGTATGCTTCAAGCTGAGGCTTCATAACTTCAACAAGCGGAACCGGACCACCATTTAAGTCGCAACAAATTCCACCTTGTTTCACAATCCAATTAGCTGCTAAAATTGGAAATGCTTTTGATTTTATCTTGTCTTTTTGGGACTCGAACCAGCTTAACTGCTCATTCATAGATGCATTAATGTCCAGTCCTTTTTTCAAAAGTTTAGTTAGTTTCTTGTTCTTCTTCTTTTCAAGATACCATTCAGCTATTGTGCTGCTGGTACAGACACTTGCTGCCATTTTCAAAGTGTTCAAAGTTTCTGCACTCAGAACAGTCTGTTAACTCAGAACAGCAGGGATGTATGTGTGCCTATGTGTGTGTGTGAATTATACGGGAGGGGCTATGTATGTGCGTCTATGTTCAGAAACTGCAGCCTATGTGATGCGTCTGTGTGTGTGCTCAGAGCTGCAGGCTGTCTGTGTGTGTGTAAGTATGTGTGTGTGCTCAGAGCTGCAGGCTGTCTGTATATGTATGTGTGTGTGCTCAAAGCTGCAGGCTGTGTGTGTGTATAGGTATGTGTGTGTGGGGCTCCCTGCCTCTCCCCCTCTCCAACTGGATTTGTGTGTGTATGTGTATGAAGGTACAGGGCAATTCTGAAGGGAGGGGCTGCTTCGCTCTCTTTCTCTGTCCCTCACTCACAGAACAAAAGAAAAATTTAAAGAAAAGTTAACTCTAATGCTTTTCAGTATTTTAGTTTTCTTTTTAAAACTCAAAACAGTTTCTTTTTTTTTCTCTTTCCAAATATTTTGGATTTTATCTCAGGTTAATTTCTTTGGTATTTATTTTTTCCTTAAAGTTAACTCGGATCAGTCTCCTCAAATATTTGAACAGCTTTACGGTCAGGTTCAGAATGCCCACGATCCTAGCTAGTTACAAGGGCGCCTTTTATACTTGTATAACTCTAGCGTGTTACAATGTTTTAGGGATTACCCTGCCATCGTTTTAAACAGTCCCGCCACATTTAACCGCTTTGGTCAATCAAGTACCGCTCGTGTTAAACTTTCCTCGTTTCCTTCTGAGAACGAATCTTCGGTGTGCTGGATGTTTTAGGGATTACTCTGCCTTCTTTAAACAGTCCCGCCACTATCCAACCACGTCGCAGTTATAACCAAGCAAATTTTACTAGCTTAACCGTTTTACAGCTAATTCCAAATTTCTGACTAGATGGTCTTTTTTCTAAAAAAGATCCATCTCTATCCCAGCATTTCAAATATTGTTTGAGGTTTACTTTTCAGAGAACCTTAAATAAGCCTAATTCAATTTGATTATTTAATCTGATTAATTTTTATATAATTTTTCCTTATGTCCCATATTCATTGGCAAAACAACTGGTACTTAAAATAACACAGTTCTTTTCAGCATTTCAGTCACTGTCTCTAATCATCAGGCAGACTTAAAACTTTTTAGAAAGGAAAAAAAGTCTTACCTGAAATGATTGAGACGAATGCCTGGGTATGCGATCCTGTTCGTGACGCCAAAAATGTAGATTTAAAATCTTCGTTTCCCCTTGTTATTTAATTTAATGAAAAGACACCAGTCATTCTGCCAATATTGTCACTCACGATACACTTAACAAAAGTGAAGGGAAGGACTCAAGTGCAGTGAAGGGATGATTTATTAACAAAATAAAACAAAACACAAAGCAAAAACCCACGAGGGGGAAAACATACTCAACAAAACATAAAACTGAACTTGAACTGAAATACCTTAGAGTATTTAGGTTATACCTTTTATACTTTTATTCAGTTATACCTTTTATACTTGTATAACTCTAGCGTGTTACAATGTTTTAGGGATTACCCTGCCATCGTTTTAAACAGTCCCGCCACATTTAACCGCTTTGGTCAATCAAGTACCGCTCGTGTTAAACTTTCCTCGTTTCCTTCTGAGAACGAATCTTCGGTGTGCTGGATGTCTTAGGGATTACTCTGCCTTCTTTAAACAGTCCCGCCACTATCCAACCACGTCGCAGTTATAACCAAGCAAATTTTACTAGCTTAACCGTTTTACAGCTAATTCCAAATTTCTGACTAGATGGTCTTTTTCTAAAAAAGATCCATCTCTATCCCAGCATTTCAAATATTGTTTGAGGTTTACTTTTCAGAGAACCTTAAATAAGCCTAATTCAATTTGATTATTTAATCTGATTAATTTTTATATAATTTTTCCTTATGTCCCATATTCATTGGCAAAACAACTGGTACTTAAAATAACACAGTTCTTTTCAGCATTTCAGTCACTGTCTCTAATCATCAGGCAGACTTAAAACTTTTTAGAAAGGAAAAAAAGTCTTACCTGAAATGATTGAGACGAATGCCTGGGTATGCGATCCTGTTCGTGACGCCAAAAATGTAGATTTAAAATCTTCGTTTCCCCTTGTTATTTAATTTAATGAAAAGACACCAGTCATTCTGCCAATATTGTCACGATACACTTAACAAAAGTGAAGGGAAGGACTCAAGTGCAGTGAAGGGATGATTTATTAACAAAATAAAACAAAACACAAAGCAAAAACCCCACGAGGGGAAAAACATACTCAACAAAACATAAAACTGAACTTGAACTGAAATACCATACACTGACCATGAATAACACCAGGGAACAGGGGAGACATAAGACACTAATCAGGTAACGAGGGGGAGGATCAAACAATGACAGGAGCACATGGCTCAACATAACAAAACCACCCATGTGCTAACACGACAGGACAGACACGTGACACTACCCCCCCTCAACGGAGCGGCTACCAGACGCTCCATCAGACTGGACGGGAGGGACAAACCAGGGCGGGACGGGAGGAACGGACCAGGGCGGGGCGGGGGGGACAGAGACATCAGGCGACCGGGCGGAACAGAAAGTCCATAGGGCGGTGAGGGAGAAACACAGAGTTCATTGGGCAGTGAAGGAAAACACAGAGTCCATCGGGTGGCCAGGGCTGTGAAGACCCCTCGGGCGGCCAGGCCGGTGAAGACCCCTCGGGCGGCCAGGGCGGTGAAGACCCCTCGGGCGGCCAGGGCGGTGAAGACCCCTAGGGCGGCCAGGATGGAGCAGATCTTTCAGGTGGCCAGGGCGGTGAAAACCCCTCGGGTGGCCAGGGCGGTGCAGACCCCTCGGGCAGCCAGGGCGGTGCAGACCCTTCGGGTGGCCAGGGCGGTGAAGACCCTTCGGGTGGCCAGGGCGGTGAAGACCCCTCGGGCGGCCAGGGCGGCGAAGAGCCCTCGGGCAGCCAGGGCGGTGAAGACCCCTCGGGCGGCCAGGACGGAGCAGATCCCTCAGGACCAGACACCGGCTCGGGAACAGGCGCTGGCTCTGCCTCCGGCTCGGGAACAGGCGCCGGCTCAGGAACTGACACTAAAACAGACACAGTCACAAGAACAGACACAAACACAGACAAAAACGCTGGGTCCTGAACCAACATGAGCTCCGGCTCAGGGACAGGCACCGGCTCAGGGACAGGCACCGGCTCAGGGACAGGCACCGGCTCAGGGACAGGCACCGGCTCAGGGACAGGCACCGGCTCAGGCACCGGCTCAGGGACAGGCACCGGCTCAGGGACAGGCACCGGCTCAGGCACCGGCTCAGGGACAGGCACCGGCTCAGGGACCGGCTCAGGCTCAGGGACCGGCTCAGGGACACCGGACACCGGCCTCTCCAATATCCGAGCCAGCCGCTCCAGATAGTCCCAGCTCAGGCAGGCAGACGGGACAGGAGCATTATCACACTGGACAGACGGGACGTGAACCGACTCTCGCTGGGCAGACGGGACGTGAACAGTCTCTCGCTGGGCAGACGGGACGTGAACAGTCTCTCGCTGGACAGACGGGATATGAGCAGTCTCTCGCTGGGCAGACGGGACGCGAGCAGTCTCTCGCTGGGCAGACGGGCATTTCCTCCTCCTTCTCCGTCCGTGACGGCGAGAAGTGGGTCCTGAACTGTCCCTATAGATGGGCGAAAATTGACTTGACCCAAATGAGGCGATGAATAGTCCGGGCAATCCAAATAGTCGTCATCGTAATCTAGATTTCCCCAGTCAAAGTCCTCATCCTCCATCCTGCTGAGTCCTCAAGTTGGTTGGATCTTTCTGTCACGATACACTTAACAAAAGTGAAGGGAAGGACTCAAGTGCAGTGAAGGGATGATTTATTAACAAAATAAAACAAAACACAAAGCAAAAACCCACGAGGGGGAAAACATACTCAACAAAACATAAAACTGAACTTGAACTGAAATACCATACACTGACCATGAAATAACACCAGGGAACAGGGGAGACATAAGACACTAATCAGGTAACGAGGGGAGGATCAAACAATGACAGGAGCACATGGCTCAACATAATAAAACCACCCATGTGCTAACACGACAGGACAGACACGTGACAAATATATGTTATTTATTTTACCAATTTATATAAGACATAAGGGAGAGAGTGATAATGGACCCGCAAAGATCTTCCTTCTTGCTTCTCTGTATTTTCTCCCCTCTCTGCCTAAACAAAGAGCTTACACAGTACATATAGGCTGTTCCAGAGAAACATCTGCTCTCCATCAATCATTGAAATGTATATTCTGCTCCGATGGAAAGAAACATAATACACTCAACTTCCCCCCAAAGTCCCCCAAACTCTAAAAGTCTTCCACATACAGTATTCAGAAAAGTTTGATTCATAAAAAATGTAGATTATAAAAGATTATGAATGATATATGAAAAGTATAAAAAATGTATATGAAAAGTGTAAATCACATGCATAAATACTAATGATTATAATTATTAATAAAAACAATAAAAAAAACTAAAAACAACATTAAATGATGAGATTGTGAATCTTCAAACATCACTTCTCTAAAACTATTGACTAATATTCTCAACACATTTCAGCATGGTTAAATTCAACTTTAAAGTGTTTTATACGTAACCCACCTGTAACACAGGAAAGAAACGAGGAGACAGTTGTGTCAGTTCAAGCTCCCTGGAGTAATGAGAAACTCACGACTCGCACAAGCTTAACACCCATCACTCGACTCTGTCCCTAACGGTCAGGAGTAGCATTGCACACTTTTCACTTTTTCTTTTAAAAGGAATCAAATTTAGAATAAACCCCTTCTGAATGTTTCTTTTTTCAAAATAAACACAATAACATCAAAATGAAACAAATAATTTTGAATATACTTAACACACAATTCAACATTTTTGTGATCGTCACAAAAAATGAAGACAACACTTCCAGAAAACAACGCAACCCACTGCCGAGCCAACTATCACTAAAGTAAAGAAGAAGAAAAAATACACAAATGCAGAGAAAGACTTTTCGGAACCTTCAGTCATCCATCAACATTATCAAGATTGTAGTAACCACCAGGACATCGCACAAAGTGAAGACTCCTTGTTTTGTTGGAAACGTTGCAGGTCACAGCCGAAGATGGCTGCATTGATTCACTTGTGCCCAAACATGATGTTCCAAACAGATAGTCTTGATCTTTCAGCAAAATTACACATGAGTGCCATCAACGGGTCATCCTGTTTCAGAATTCGCTTCGCTGTCTGAACTGCTCGTTCGGCATGTTTGATAGTAGTAAGGGGAGGCCTTTTGAAAGCCGATCCATTATACATGCATGCAATAAGACAGTGATCACTGTATTGTCCTGGCAAGAAACAATATAAAAAAAAGCAATATCAATATTGCAATATCAATATCAATACAGGGTGCTTTTTCTGGTGATTTTGTGTTATATCTGGTGGGTTCAGCGCGACAGATTGCCATGACAGCAAGGGTATTCCCGTGTGTGTCAGTGACCTTTTTTGAAGCAATTACCTCCTCGATATCATCCAGATCGAGGCAAAATGGTTACAGTATGCGGTGGAGGGATTTATTCAAAATATAAAAATAAGAAATGAAGGAAAACACTTTTTATTATTCGTGCCACAGGAAGCAAATTTTGTTTATAAAAGCTATATTTAGCATTTCTTACTGCCTGTGTATGATGTTTGATAGTAATAAGGGCCTTTTGATGGCCGATCCATTATACATGCATGCAATAAGACAGTGATCACTATTGTCCTGGCAGAAAACAGCAGAGGAAAATTTACATGGTAAATTAGTTAGAGCAATATCAATAAGGTGCTTTTTCTGGTGATTTCGTGTTATATCTGGTGGGTTCAACGCGGCAGATTGCCATGACGACAAAGGGTATTCCGTGTGTGTCAGTGACCTTTTTTAGAGCAATACTTTGTCGATATCATCCAGATCGAGGCAAAATGGGTTACAGTATGCGGTGGAGGGATTTATTCAAAATATAAAAATAAGAAATGAAGGAGACACGACTACTATTGGGGCTAATGCTTAATTACCGGTCTCAAGCAAAATCAGAAAAACCCCATGACCATGCTACCTCAACTGCAACCAAAACAACCTTGAAGATTTTATAAACTTCAGTGTTTCGAGTTAGAAATATATGACTTGCACTGCATATTTAGTAATTTTGCCTCCGATACAGGAATACACATTCGCTTTATCAAGCAGGTTGTTCATTACTGCAGCAACCGTTTGCGTGTCATGCTGAATGCGATTTTCGTGTTTAAAAAGTAACAAACATTATGCATAAAAGACGGAAAGATACAGAGAACCATACATTATTTAAGGTTATTTCTATTTGTTACGATATTGATATATGAACTGATGTTGTCAAGTAAGCTTCATACTTTCCCCGTTGCGAGCGTGCACTCCTCTAAACTGTAGTCTACGGTGCTGCACTGCTAACTTAGCTGACTCCTGCTCATTTTCCCCGAGAATATCATGGTATGTTAAAAATCAACCCTTTAGAAAATGTAATTCCTTTGTGGATCCTCTTGATCTGCTTACTCCGTGCTTCTTTGAC